CTACAATGCTTACTACATACAGTTCGGAAGGAGTTCGATTGCTCTCTAAGAATTCGTGTCTTAGAAAATTAATTGTAAGTTCCCTAAGATCCCCAAGTCTCCCAAGTTGTGGGATTCTTCGTCGTCACATGTTCAGCTGTATTGTTGTAGGCGCCAGTACACCGATAAGGCCTTCCGCAAGTTTCTTTTCGGTCGCTTTTTCCGAAGACGCCTAACGTGTTTTCACGTTAATTCGTATGATACTTACCACTGCCATACCTAACCTTGTATCAACAAATTTTTTACATATTTTTCTAATTTCGAGTTCTTTACCGTTCTTAGAGGGAATTTCAAAAAATTGAAAATTTGATTAAGAAATTAAATGTTATTTTGCCCTAGACTATTGACGTAATGCCCAATGTTATGCCTCTATTATATTAGTATATATAATAGATATATAAAACGAAATTATCTATATTATATATAATATAGTATAATTTTGAATGAAATCTGCATGCTCTATGTATGGCTTACTTTCATTCTCGAGAAGATACTTCAGTTCGGTGCAACCAACCAATGGACTACAAAGAAGACCTATAGACGAAGATTCTTGTAAGGATTTTCAGAGATATTTAGAAGTCATTTTGAACATTACAAACCTTCTCCTACTCAAAAGATTTAAGTTAAGGGAACACGTTTTCACGTGTCAATACGCTCTTTTATAAAACACAAGATTACCTTTAGAATATTTGACAACAGATTTGGACCCTGATGAACGCAACTATTTAGCGATGCTTCATCGTTTCGGCGTGCTCGTGCATCTTTTACCACTTTTGGTGTGGGGAAAAAGGGGGCGAAAATCATTCTACCCAGTAGGTTGCCTTTTTCAATCTTAACAAAAAATTTGTTTGTCAATGCTAAACCGGCAAATAGTAGACGAGCCCGTTTCTTTCCTAAGGGATGCAGGTTCCGCAAAACCATTTGTCAAATATCTTCGAATTTTTCCACCTACAACTAATTAATCCCTCTTTTTTCAACCTTTCTTGGCTTTTAGAGGGAATAAGTACTAAGTGTTTGTTACCTCTTGCAACTCTGATGTTGTCTTTAAATGCAAAACTAACTTCATATCCCCCACGGTCTTCGCACTTCATTGAATCTATGAACAGCTGCATGAGATTGTCACCTAATTCCCAACAACTCATTCTTGGGTGATGCTTATATTCCTATTTTTTTTAGATTCAATGAAAGAAAAATTGTGTCCGATACGTTTGTTTAGCAATTTGAAACGGCTCATATAACGGATGACTCATTGTCCAATGCAGTACGTAATCAAATTAAGTGGGAAACGCATAGGACCTCGTTTCCTCCATCGCCGTCATTTATTGAATGTTGCTTTTCGAAGAAGAACAAAAGAGCGAATAAGTATTTAGTTCGAGGTATACAGAACAGCCGTTTTTCATCGGTATCTATACAAGTTAAATAACCCGATCCGGTCGGTATTTCGACTAATCTTGAGCAAGGATTCCGAAGCGCACGCCTTTTTCGCTGATAAAAGTACGTATTTTACGATTTGAAAAAGCTTTATATAGTGGATGCTGATAGGACTCATGTGAGCGAACCGACTCTGCAGGCTAGCTTCGCAGATTTTCTAACTTTAAGTTCTGGCCAAAGGTTCACCTATCGAAAAAATAACCATGGTTTCTTCTCCAATGCAGTTTAATCTAAAAAAAAAGAAAAAGCTGATACAAAACTTCTTGTTATATCAGAATTTAAAATAATCTTACATATTTTTTTGCGCCGTTGCGTGTCGCCAATACGTAGCCCGTACGTAAGATTGCCGACCTATTAGCTATAGGCTATAGGCTATAGGCTTTACAACCTTGAAGTTTTCTTGCTGATTTGGTGCGTATTATTGAGTAATGCCTACCGTTGCATCCAGGACAGTTAGTTCGCTTATTGGCTAGGACATTAAGATAGTAGATAAACATTAAGATAGTAGATAAATATTAAGATCACAAGACAAATGCGCTACTAGCGCTAACTTGGAACACATATACCTTATTCGACTTCTCCATACCATTTTTTTAGGGTTTTTGAAGTGTTGCCGAAAGCTCTGACGATGGAAATTTGTGCGTTATGCGCGTTTCATGTAAGCCTGTCGATTAGACTGGGCAACATGTTTCTTAATTTCAAGTTTATTATCCGAAGAAGTTCCCTAGAGCCTCTAGTTTCGATGCGTTATACGACTCTGATCCTCTTTTAAAAAACTGCGAGTAAACTGCGCCTTGATGTCGAACGGGCGACATTCAAGTGTTATGAGAGGTAGAAAGACAGATAATGCCTCTGATGTTTTAAAGTCATGTTGACACAAAATGATTAAGTTTGTCCAGTTGATAAAGGTATCTCGTATCGCATAACCTTCGGGTTTCAGCGTGTTCCAGCTTCGCATCTTCTGATTTCCCGTAACGTAACGAATTGATATTGCTCGTCGTCAGAGAAATCTAAGCGATGGATATCATTGCTAGCAAAGCAAAAGAGAGCTTCAAAAGCCTCGTGTAATTACCTAGGGGCTTCAAAAAAAAACGTCTCGCAAAATATGATTTTGATGAGTTTTCTTAAAGATCTCTGCCGCGCTAATTCCATTGATGAACAACATATAAGGGCATCTTAAATAGCAGCGACGGCTTTGCTGCACGGATGGTATACGATCGGAGTTTTATGGAACACTGGCCAATAGCTTACCATTCCATTGCACACAAGCCTCGAATGCTGTAGGCTTAAAACTTTGTTTTGCTAGACTGTTGGTAAGGTGTGTAGTAATTACCAGACTTGCTAGATTCAAACTGTTTCCACATTTATGACGCCAAACGTTGCGCGCTGCGACTATTTAAACGAATAGAAACACGTTACGTTTGATTAGACTGTAATCTCAGGCGGATCTATGAGTCTCGCGCTGTTTGGCCCTGATGTGCTGGAACTTAAAATCAACCGACCGGAAGGGAACTACATGTATGTTGCATGTGCAAAGTTTAAATGGTGCATTTCAAACAGAGAATGAACGGATTTGCCGAAATTACTATATTTTATTGTTCATCGTCATCGAGTATGCCATAGACACTTGAAGTTTCCTATAGATATATATAATATGCACTGCTTGTTTTTTTCTCTAAAACAATATTAGTCCTGTTAATGCAAACTGGGAAGTTCAGAAACAGTCGGTTGTAACGTATGTTTTCATGTTCAGATATCTCGATTGTTTGTCTATGACAGCGATGTCGGTGACATGACGGTGTGTCTAGATTTTTGACAGCTTAAAAATCCGAACCCCAGCATTTGGATAGCTATTGATTTAGCATGTAGGCATTATTTAAGAAACGTGTTACATTGTAAGCTTTTAATCGTCCCCCTTTTTCTATCAACGAAGCGCCCCGAAAGCTTCGAAGCAGAAGCCATTATATTCCTTGCGTCGCGTTTCGAGATTGTGCCCTCGTTAACTGTCCTTAAATTAAATTAGTAAATGAAAACGCGTAATACGATTTTAATAGATTTTATATGTGACACCAAATCAAGAACTTTCAAAGAGTGAACATTTCATACAGCAATCTACAATTCAAGCGCCTGTTTTTGGTTTCGCACAATATCATCAGCTTATATGAGAACTATTTAACGCTACTCCTCAATAGACCTTCGTAGCCTTTACTTCTATTACTCATTAAACTTCTGCGTCACACAAAACCCCTACAGCATGAACGTTACCTTTGGATGAACATTAAACACGCCTTAGATCGTAGAACACTTTAGATCATCTGGCCACGTGGGCGACAAGTTTGACATTATGAACAGAGCTTTCTGAATTCTAATCAGGTTTCGGCTCTTTTCTTCGTGTACACTCTTCTGTATCTATCTGTATGGGACAAACGATGAGTTAGCAACAGACAGATAATTCTATCGAAAAAGGTTTGACAGAGCCACAAGTGTGACACTTCAACTAGAAAATTAGGTTCTCTCTATAAACTGGCGGTTCGAGGTCGTCCCTCAAATCTCGCGGACGCGAATGTTAGGAAGCCGTGTTCGCGTCCATTTGCTTCGGTGTAGCAGTCTTAACCTTTGTTTAAGCGGATCATATATGCTAAGTTCACGATGGATGTGTGTCCGTGGGAAAGCGTTGCGCCTATGACTGTCGATGGGTCTACGCACAGCAAACACTGTTGCGAACAAGGGTAGAGCAAAAAAAAAAAAGGCAACGCAAAAAATACGTAATGCACTAAAATCTCTTACAGTCGACGTAGTCTCTTATGCGCTGTTCTAGCGCTAAACGTTCGTATATCCGGCACTGGCCTGGTAATGGCTCGCACACATCTCCTAATTTTTCTGTGTGCTGGTGCCAAAATGTTATACAACGTGCCAATAGTTTTCACCATTTCATATTTTGTAAGCCAGTATAACGTTTGATAGAATTCTCAAATTCTCAAGGGGTACAAATATAGGTCCTCGAACCTATATTTGTACCCTTTGTCACCATATAACAACAATCCGTTCGTCTACAAATACGATACGCGTTGTACCATAGGGTAAATGATGTGCTGCCATAACGAAACTTTTTGTTCAAAAACACATCGTATGACGATCCGCGGCTCTCTTCAAGGTTAACTAACCGTACGTAGAATAATTAATAACAGAATAGTTTTATTTAATGCTTTTACACGCATCTTACTTAGCCAAAGTAACTACAATATGTATACAATTATAACCATGTGTATATACACGTGCCTGTGAAGACGACATCGATCACCCTCAATTGTGACCAGTATTTAAACTACTAAACCTACCTAGTGCCTAAAGGTACCTGTTTTGGAGTTTTGCTGTTATTTAGAAGTACTATTATTCAATGAAAGTGCAACAGAAATACATATTTGCTAATCGTTCGTTAGCACAAGTGCTAAGTACTCGTAAAGATTCAAACAAAATAAAGACTTTATTCGTTTTTTTTTTTTTTTTTTTACTTATTTCAGGTCAGTAACATGTTCATTATGAGTTTGGCAGTGGCAGACCTGACTGTCGGCTTGATCGTTATGCCGATATCCTCTGCCTATGCTCTGGCCAACGAGTGGCAAATGGGGGACTTCATTTGCTTGTTTTGGCTATCGGCTGATTACACCGCATCAACGGCATCAATACTGAACTTGCTCATCCTCTCATTGGATCGGTGCGTGATTTTCTGTTCGTTTCATGGTTATTTTGTATGCCCCATTCAGGTATGTCCTCTTATTCTCCTCTTCAGTTATTGACATGCAATAATGATGTATGGCTCCTTCCAGATACCTTAGGTACCGTCTCGAACCTCACCCATGATGTTGCATTGAGAATTTTGCCTAAACAATAATTAGAAATCGAATAGGCCAACCAAGTGTCAAACGGCTAGAAAGATATGGGTCGAAAGAGAGAAAGGAAATTAATTAGAACATAGAAGTAAGTTACCATTGTCTTATTTCAGTTACTATAACTTGACTCGTTGACTTTTCAGACAGGTTTGGGTAGAGTATACCGGAAAAGACGTTCGTAGTTAAAGCCATGCCTTTAAAGTGGATAGCTATAACTTGGGATATGCGATATATTATTTGTTCTAATTATAGGACGGTAAACAGGAGGCTCAAATTGATAGAATAGGTAAAAGAATCTGTAATGAAGGGCCAATAAACTTCAGTCTAGATAATAGTCTGGTAAGTGCCAAGCACCTAAATAGAAAAAAGCCCGCAAATCATTTCAACCTGGGTACAAAGCTGACTAAAATCGCCTTATCAGCATAACTACGGGATTATTTAAAATTAACAATGACTTAGGAGCAAAGCTTAAATCTACTACTAATATATTAGCAAGTATATCGATAGGTAAATTATCTACGTATAACCCTCGACCAATAGTTAGAGGCGGACCCTTTTAATCAGATCCACGGTAGCAAAGTATTTATTTCTTTCAATAACTGCATAGGTTTGTATATCTGCAACCGCAAATTTTCCAATAGTAGTAACAGAAAAACACTCCTCGCCTAAAGGGAAACGTCAATACAAATTTAACAATGGTTCTACAAAGAGTAGACGTAGCTCACAAGGTACCTAGCCGCAGTAACAAATCTTAAGACGAAAATAAATGGTGCTATATTAAGTATATGTCCATCAGTGCTATCAAAGCTAATGCTAGCATTTGCTAAGGTTTTTTCCGGATGATAAGCGACCTACTGTTATGAGCAGGTGTGACTACTGCTTAACAAACAGAAACAAAAACTCTACTTTTCTTACGTGAACACTCACAATCGTATTCATGTGGATAGTAGACAATTGTCATTGTGTGTTCTCGTACAAGTTTGACCTCTGAAAAGGGATCGGTTCAACTTGTGCGGTCTTGTCTATTGCGCAGCTGTTATATCGATGCTACGACTCAAAGGGACCTAATAATATAGATGAGAAGTCGATAAAGTCAATGCTTGCCAAAGCGAAGAGCGCCAAAGGTTTTCGCTGACACCCCCCCCCCCCCTTGTTCCCCCCGACACAGCAGTAGCGTCGCAATTATGCTTGTCATCATAATAAACCCACGCTACAGTACGTGTTACGCATACGATTACGCTGGCCAAAAAAAAAAATAGAGTACAAAACAGATTTATTTTGATGGGTCAAGAGGAGAAGTAAAGATCGGCCACCCCCTGAGTTTATCTAGATTTTGTAAATTAGGTGCCAGCTATTTGTTCCAATTTGGAGACCACAGATGTGCGAAAGTGAATTTGTATTTATAGCCGGGGCACAGCATTGTTTTTCATTTTGAATAATTAATAACCAGTTGGAAGGCGTTGTAAACTGGAAGGAAATGATATTCATTAATACGTTCGTTCGTCCGTCCAGTCACGGTCGCCATAGCCTGAATACGCGTAACGCCAAATAAGTGCTGCTTGAGCTACGGGGAAGTCGCCCAAAGAACTGTCTGTTTTGAAAAAGAAGAAAAAGAGAGGGAACGGATAGCTGCGAAAGACATAGGGGCCTACAACGTTACAGTAAAGAGACTGTAGTTTGTTTCGAATGGGTCAAAGTATGGCTAAGATTAGAAAACTCATGCAGAACAAAAGCTGAATCATAAACGCAGGGTTCGTGAACTAATCTAACATTGATTAATATGGACATTAGTTTTTTTTTTCGTTTGAGCAAAGTAATTGCTTTATATATGACCTAATAACACGTTACATTATGTTAATCTTCGTGAAGTGCTAGGCAATTGTGGTCTCCGCTGAGATCCGCTACGAAAGCAATTATTAACCTTCAATTACATTTAAGAGCTTAACCCGAAGCAATCGTAACCCTTCTCAAACCCTAATATCACAAGAAAAGTATAAGTACTTGAACTGGGAACCGAAAAACGAAGTAGCCGTTCTGTCTTAAAAAAAGATATGAACCCTTCTAGCTTCATATCATTAGAGTATATCAGGATAATAGCTTCGTGCATCTGAGTTGAAGCTTATCAGAAGCAGCGCCTAGGAGGCACGCAGTTAATACGCTAGCTTCTTACAGCTATAATGTCTTACCTACTAATTCTAATGATGTTCTGAACGGTTTTTAGGTAATAAGTTATGAGCATAACGTCTATAAAATATTCCTATTATAGTGAAGAGACAAAGTGGAAACATTCCGTCCTTAACGCTAACAACAATCGAAGTGATCCCTGATAGCCTAAAAGTACGATGTTCAGCTGATCACGATTTCTGTTCGGCGAAATCCGCTCAAGAAAAAAAACTCTGTATTTTTACATTTTCTTTTTTATTTTAAGGTATTGGTCGATCACGTCTCCACTTCGGTACATGCGAAAACGGACAAAAAAGCGCGCTCTTGTGATGATCGCGTTTGTGTGGTTCGTGTCGGCGATGTGGATTGCACCTATAATATTTTGGCAGAAGTGGTACCCAGATGAGTCCGGCACGGACGCTTTTGGCAGTTCAGTACCCACGAACGAGCATAACTATTCAAAGAATTGCGAAACGAAGTTTAGTGATAATGTTATTTTTAAATTAACGGCTTCCATGCTCAATTTTTATATTCCGATGGTGCTCATGATTGTGTTGTACTTCAAGATCTTCATGGAAGTAAAGAAACGGTCGAAGTTCGCCATCGGCGAGAATCAGATTTGCTATGGGACGCACACGATCTGCAGTTCACCGGCGAGGAGTATTTCCCGAAAGACGCTTGCCAAAGACGTAGACTTTGTCAGTGATGGGAACGAATCTCTGTCAATGCACGAGGATGGAAATAAGGTCGGGGGAACGTCGAGCAGCTCGTCCGGTTCACATCAGGGCCACCAAAGTGGAATTAATCACAAGCATCTAGTTGTTAGCACAACAGCGACGAAGGAAAAGAAACGACGAAGGGGTCGCAAATCGGATGAAGCCATCGCTGGCGATGGACTAAGCTCTGAAGGCGCCGGTTCTGACTGGGAGCCGGAGCGAGATAGTGGAAATAGCGGAGACAGCTATAAAAGTACCGTGGCCGTACCACTTCCACCCTTGTCATCTGTACCTAGCCATAGCCATGGTACCACCAATGCTTGTACCCCATGTCTTATTCACGTACGAACTGATGGAGCCAGTGGAGCTACCGTTACTCATAATAAGGCTCTAATTGAGCGCAAAACAAATATGCGTACATCATCTAATGGACCAAGTCCAAATTCAATTGTGGTAAGTGAACGCTCTACTCTGCTTTTTTAAACGTATATGTCTTTAACACTGTTGACATACGTTCTATTATGTTAGAGCAGACAGAAAGGTCATTTTTTGATGGCATTATAGCTAAGACCGTGCTTTCTATGACAAGTAATAATTTCATTTTGTCAGTATTATCAGGAACGGAATCGTGAATATACTTACCGTTCTAGCTAGTGAATATATTTACCGATTATATAGAACGAAACAAGCCGAAAATCCAAAATTGTGAAAAGAGACAAAAAGTTCGACGCTTAAGATCTTGCCTCGTACAGCCTCTAACAATAATAATTCTTTATGCTGTTATATACGATCGATCGTAGTTCTCTCAATCCCTAATCAGTGACTGATTGATTGATCTATAGATTCCAGTCGCGGTATTTTGATTCTTGCCACGTTTCGTCTGATATTCGTCTAAATTGAAATCGTCTGAATTGACATTGGTCTGGTTTGGCTCCCGTCAGTTACACTTTAGCGATCCATTCCACAAGCAATTGCGAAGGAAATTTGGAACTTACATAATTGCTCTATACCCGAAAATAACCCTTTGAGCGCAATGATAGCACCAGATCAAGACAACAGGCATTTGTTGTGTTGAAAACTCAAGGTCCGGGTAATCTTGTTCCGATACACCTAGCCCATTCAATTTAAAAAATTCAAGTGCTTTGGAAAGGCAAACATACTTCCAGCGCTTCACTTTCATTTTAAGGCATAGAGAGTATTATCTGCTATTGCTTTTAGGGGCTGCCAACTGATTTACAAGGCTAATTCAAGCTTGGGCTTGTTATCAAAGAGTAAGTTCCCGTTGAGCTTACAACTTCTGCGATACAGACATAAGTTTCGTCGTATATCTCACACGATCACTAGAAACGGCTAATCAGTAGATAAGACATGGAAATCCAAATAGGATCAAATCTTCTCTATTTAGCTAATTCTGTACAGCCGTAATTGAGAGACGATGCCCGAATTGGCCTGAGCAGCAATTTCCCAAGTAACTTAAAAGATCCTGAAAATATAGCTAAAAAATAACGATATATAAGCTTATGCATTGGGATTGAAATCAATTAACTTGAAGTTTCTGTAGGTTGATGACTCTAAGACAAGTAAAGGAAGATTACAAATATTTTCGTGCTAACTTCTAACTCTCTATTAAACTATGCGTTCGCTCAAGACAGGATTGTATTGATTTTCAATGCGATTAAGTGCCATACATTTGTCAGCAAACACGATAATATATCCGGCTAGTTTTGTCATTGCGTTTTTCCTGAGTGTACAATACTAGATCTTAATTTTTTACGTATAAGCATTTAATTTAGAAATTATTATTTGCTTTAACCTAAGAAGTTTCCGTTTGAGAAGTGTTTTTCTTTTTTATACATTGGCCTTTAATTCAACCTATATAAGAACGCATGTTGAATTTTACATATACTCGTCGGGTGGATTCGTGCTATGACCTTCGCTCTAAAGCAACAATAGTAATAATAGCTATAGAATACTGAATATAGGGGGAGTCATGCATAGTCTGTCACAACGGCGGTGTCCGAGTTTTATACTACTGATTTGTTTTGCGGTGATATCTGTTTTCTTCACTTTGAAACTGAAATTTATCGAAGTTTTCAGTAAGCCAAGCAGTTCTCTTCGGGCAGCATGTAACACGACATAAATGGGAAATGGAATAAGTGATTTAACCATGTAGCAGAGGCACCGACTACGTCATCTATTGCAATGGAAACGTTCCAACGACATGTCTATCTTCTCAAGCTTCCGGTAGCGTATTATTGTAGTACACCGGCGTTGTTTTGGGGCTTCGTTAACAGTCTCTGGGACCTCTCAACAGATGTTCAACAGCTTGGTCTGGACTCCAATCAATACATCGCGAAAACTTCATTTTCTCATTTGTGATTTGGCGAGTAGGAACCAATGCCTCTGCTTCATGCAGCGTTATCGTCGTGTACATCCAATTGTTGTAAATCGTAATAATTTACTGCACGTCAATGTACAACGCAAGGGTTACATTTTGTAAAATGCGTAGCGGATAAACCAATTTTTTGTCGTGTCATAGATTAAACATTTGGAAATTTCTGAAATTTGTGTGAAGCCTTGATCTTGAGGCGGGCAATCTCTCTTCTCATGCCGCTCAAAAAAATCCTTTGTGGTTTATTTTGCTATGGGTTTCAGCGGTCGTTCCCCAGACAGCATCTGTACTAATGAAGTAATCTTTCACGTTCTTTATCATCCTCTGATGTGCTTCTTCTAGGAACTTTTCTCACCATTGTCCATCCAAGAGGAATAACTTTCTCCTAAGCACAAAACTCAGTGGCTGTATGAAGGAAAGGCTTGCGGAATGCATAACGAAAGATTGTAGCAGCCTGAATGAAGTGATTAAATGAAGGACTTCCTAAATATTTCATGTTCATTATTTTCCCGGTTCTACTACCTCGCTTCCTTTGTTCCGCTCGCATAATCGAACTCTACGGCGTCTGCCTGCTTCACACAGCAGCGCTCATCTAAACTGAGAATGCTTCTTATCTTGTTTCTGAGACACTATCGAGAGAAGAACAGATATAAACAAACATTCTGCATATATTAAAATTGCTATTACCGATGGTCACATTTATTTACTGTGGCGCTTATTCACTGAGATTACGAGACGTAAACCGTTCAATAGTGAAATATTCGTTTTTTAATTATAGCCCATAAAACTAGTATAATTTTTTTTAACCATTTTGATAAATTTTCGATTTCGTATAGTCTAAACCCCATTGAGGATTTCTCAGACTAACCCGTTAAGGTTTCCTATAGTGTGAGAAGCAACAAGAATGCAGATCGCCGATTTCGGAGAACTTTTAATCTGTAAGGGGATCGTCCAGCGCGGAAAGGTTGAATAACAGCCGACCTCCAATCAAGTTCCGAAAACAATGTACCATGACATGTACGCTGCCTTTTGCTAGAAAATGATTTTCGTTTCGTACCAGAAGCAGCAGATGAACACGTGTCCATTAGGACAAACAGCCTACCAAAGTAGTCCTTAACTTAAATGCACCACCCTGTAATTAGCGATATAGGCAGATTACTTCGGTAGCATCGTCGTGTCGTTGAGAAAAAGGCTTCTTTGACATTCTTTTTAGGCCCTTTTCCTATTAGCGTGAGGCTAATAATCTACAGCAATGGTGCAATATACATTTTAGCTACTGGCTATACCTTCAGCTTAAAAATAACTAGCCGCGAAAGATATTTTAGCTCTTAGAATAGACTCTAATTAGCTGTGTCGTCATTTAGAGAGACGTGTACCTAATTCTCTATGTAAAAGCGGTTTGAACTCACGGTAATTCAGTTGTCTGTGACGACGACTGAGTGTCCGCCTATGTTATTAATTCTAACATTTTGTTTGTTTCATATTCACAGATTCTTCCAAATACCAACGGTAATAACGGTAGTTTTTATATGTCTCGAAAAGGGCGGAAAAATCGAAAAGATGGCAATTCGGGTCGGGAAAATTTTGAACTTAGCGAGAAGGTTAGTCTTTAAACCTGGGTTGCCTCGAATTCTACTTGTATCGTATTCCAATTTTCAACTGAAAAATTCTAACCACATTAAAATCAAACATAACAATAGACGCAATTACATTATCTTCTTAAGAAATTTTTAAGAAAAAAAATTTGCCAATACGAAAGTTCAGTACCTTCGCATTAACCTATTATTATAGGATAGGAACTACAATCTTATGCTCTCCTTTTCTGGAGTTGTTACAGGTGGGTCGGGGAGGTGGTGAATCAAACGTTTCAACATTTTTAGAGAATAATCCCTCCGCAAGTGGTTCGATGAAACGATGTCGGGCACCTTTTCGTTTACGAGTGACACGAAATAACTACGCAGCTAATCTTGGACAGCAAAAGAAGGCTGCCAGACAATTAGGCAAGTTCTTAGTTTGTTGCTACTCATCACTTTCAACTTTATTTAACATCATAGCGTAGAGTTTCCAACGCCAACCTGTGCGTGAATTGCTCATTTAATAGGGATCATGTCTGTATTAAAATCACAAGTTAAAACATGACAAAAATAAGGTTTCGTAACGTATACTACATGAAAAATATAATTGTAACATAAGCCTTTACGAAAGATAAAAAGTTGCTAAATAAAAAAAAAAGTACGATCAAGGCGCCATTGTAGTCACCCTGTTAAGCAAACCGAAGCACACTTGCGTAGTCCTAGACTTGTCCTGCACTTCTATTTATTACTACTTTGAGTTAAATTTGTATTTCTCTTCTTGTTCTGAAAAGTAGAGCAACGAGTATACTTCATGATTTAAGGTCTTTAAGAAAATAATATTTTATATGCTTTGGTAAGACGATAAAGTGTAATTTTAGTTGAGCTTTTGCGGCTAGCAAAACATCGGGTGTACTATTCTATTGAAACATCACGAAAAATCAAATCAGCATGACTTCTAATGTAACAATAAAAACACTATGGATAAGAGTCATAGTTAGAACAATTTTTGACAACCTTAACTTAAACTTGTCAAGTCGAAATGAGCTAGTAGAAAACAGAGGGCCCCTGCTTTATAACAGCATGCTCGAGCAGACTGTATAAAAGACAGAGTTCGAGTTCTCAATAGGAAATAACTGACCTTGCAATATTTTCCTCTGAGTAAATATAGGTTCGAAACTGTTAACTTTAACTTGCCAAATGATTTCAATGCGACCAATCTTTATATTGCTATATCACCGCTGGAGTCTCCAGAAACTTAGGTTTTTACCACTTTCGATTTCTTAAGGTTAACCGAACTATGAGTTAAAACATAACGCAAGTTTTCAAAGTTCGTTTACACATTAAATTCGAGCCTGGTTTTCGAACTTAGAATAAGGCAGAGACAACTGCATATGTAACTTGTCCCGTCTAAACGATAGGCCTTTCTGATAAGCCCGGAAAAAAACCCAATACCAATTTGAATTTCGTCTACTAATACCTATTTACGTATATGTAGGAGCCAACAACAGTGCTATTTGAGTCACATATAAATTTAGGCGTAGATACGACCGAGGACCGCCCACCATTTACCTACCTTATTTTAAGTATTAGTCTAAGTAGAAACATTTTGTTACCTTAACACACATAATTCAGCCTCAGGCACTTTTTCAGCTTTCGGCAAAACGTGCCCTTCTCGCGACGATTTTGGTCGGCAATCGATGTGGACACAAGTGTCGTTTGTTTCAACCCTGACTGGCCCGCGCCAAGCTATCTACTTAGTAGTACTTTAATCTGACACTAAGCTTTACAAATTACTCAACATCAATTGATTCCGTAGATCAAACGACAATTTCTCATGTCGACCTGTCGTCTCACGAAGATCTTGACTGATCAATTGACTGACGACCGGACCGGACCGGACCGGCCACACAAGCTCCCCTAATCTCGATAAGCGTACTTCTCTATGTATCAGTAACCGCAATCATTTATGATTAAATAAGGCTTGCTATCGACGGCCTTTGGGTTGTGTGCCTGTACAGTTAACTTGCGATAGAAATAGCTAATCGATCATTCTAGTCGCTGCTTGTCAATGTTGTTCGTTTTTGATAAACAAGACAAAACAAAAGTTGGCCTGCAAAAATATTTACAAGTCGTGCGTAGGACCCGATGCATTGTTTAAAACATTACCTAACATAGCTTGTCCCATAGAAAAACTTAACGCTGTTATTATATGATTATCATATAGATATTGTGTAATAGGTGATGCTGCCTGAAGCTATAAGGTCAACTTTGTCTTAGTTGTGTCATGTCAGCATATGGAAACACGCTTTTGTTACGATGTCGTCATAGAATGTTCTCATCGTTAATAAGAAATTCAGCCTCCATAATTTACAATACTTAGTTAGAGAAATACTGTCCTTGAGAGCTATGATTTTACCTGTTGAGGTGTGCCTCCGAGATTCACGAAAAGAGGATATCTTAGTCTTCGGCTAGCGTCTTCTAGACGTGTAAGATACACAGTATAAACCATGACTGCCAGATGAATCAACGGTAGTAAAAAAAAATGTCCTTATGGTTGCTAAACTGTTCCTAACGTATTCGAACGAAATTAAGCTTATTTGATTGAATTCAATCAGTACCTAAACCTTAAAGCTAGGTATCTATTGTCACGCGAGCGCATCGATAGTTGTACGTACTAGTCTGCGATTGACGCAGTGTCCTTAATCCACAATGACTTTTCTGTTTGCCGCCTTTGTGTTTACAGGTTTGTCACGTGTTTACAGATCTGTTACCCGGGTGCTAAGCGTGCAGGTACACTTAGTACATTTTTCATTTCGAACACTCGCATCTCTCACGCTGACCTAATCATGTTAGTTAAGTTAGATTGTATGATTTCGTGAATCGAGCCTTTGTCAAACCAAGTCTAGACGTTTTCCTAAAGACATGTCTATAACAGTAGATCAACGGATATGACAAGATTAGCGCGATCTTGCAAGAGTTAGTGCCACTAGGCGTTCAGAGGAAGGTTCAGGCAAAATGATGCACCTCTGCAGTTCGAGGCAGTATTTATCATCTACGTCAATTACGATTGTTCCCCATTCACAGAATTAAGGCTCTTTATCAATGAGCGTATAAACCGAAAGCGGCGAATGGGTTCCTCAGTAAACCTCACAATTTCGACCAGACACTAGTTACCAAACAATATATATATTTCTTTACTTTTATGTTATATAGTGTGTCGTTAGTGAGACTTAACGGGATTATGTGCACACCCTCGACTTCACTATAAATCGTTGTAGATTTGTAAACGTATGTAACACACGCATTTTGGCCAGCCTCGTGCGAATATTCGTTAGGTAAGAACTCTCAAAATACGACCGTTTTCAGTCAAGATTATCTAATATTTCAATATATTTCTTATTATCTGGACTAACGAAACAATTGCAACACTGCCAGTAAACACTTAACTCCAAAAGACTGCCAATAACAACATCTCAGATAGCTGCGCCGGGCTAAGCTTCCTTGCTGCTGTAAAATTTCGGCAACTTCGAATGGCTGAGAAGTGGGTGACGCAAGCATGGGCTTTTTCCCCATTTTTGGCACCGATAAAAGCAGTTTCCTTCCCCTGTTTCTGCTGCTGCTCTTGTTGGACGAGCAGCTGATAGAACCTATTTGCAAATTTCTCCCTGTTGTGCTCGGTTTAACTGTCCCATATCCTCAAGTGGCCCTTGACCGACGTGCCATATAGTAGCCCTAGCAGTCTCCAGTTCCGCTACATAAACTGGTTTAACGAGTCAATTTTGCTTACTAGTTACAATCGTGGATCAGCATTCGCAATAGACAACTATTTACCCAAAATCATGCGTAATCTCGATAATTATACGGGTTTGAATGGTGGAAAATTGGCTTTGGAGAATGGTACGTACCCGGTACTCGATCTATTCAAAAACTGGTCTCGAGCTGCATAGAAGAAGTTCATGTAGACGAATCAGCTTAAATCGACTGTAATTTACTATAGGGAATCATCTCTTCTAGCCATAGCCATAGCTTTTGGTATGAGAAGCGTCTTCTTTTAAGCTTTGTTGAAGCATTGACTTCTTCACACAAAATACTTATTTGTCTATAGTGTGCACCCCACCCAAGTTCGTATAATCCCACCCTATAGAGCTGTGTTGGCCAACAACAAAGGTTTCTTCAACCGGTGTCTTCTCGAAAATGAATGCATTGAAGTGGGCTACAAAATAGAAGAATGTGTGACGAATACATTGGCGCAATTATGTCTTCTAACGATAACGTTAGGTAAATTCTAACCTTTACGTTTCCAGACTATCTCTCGCCTACGAAAAACTATACTACACCAATGAATCATATAAAACCCGTAATGAAAGATAGGTACTAGTTAGTGATTCATGAAGAATAGTTTAATAAATTTGCTTCAATATAACGATAATGCTGTACAAATGGTAGTTGTCGGCTTCTGCCTACAGACAAATAAACAATTTCTAGTTCCATCTAGATCGTATGATCATAACTAGAGAATTTCCGTCATGAAGGATATTGGGGACGTCCGAAATTGGTCGGCGGTTATCTTTTTTGCGTATTAACAAAAAAAAAAACCAAGCACTTCTATGTAGTGTAGCTACATTTACAATATGTTAGTTTTTTTTTTTTTTTTTTTTTTTTTTTCAGATTAATATAATATCAAAACAGCTGGAGTTATTGCTGTCGACTGGTTAAGTACGAGCTCCCTATTTTTATGAGATAAAACTGACGATGCACGGTGATAGCTCTGAGCTATGGTTGGGTGTGTGTTAACATACGACATCTCAGATATGGTAGGGAGGCCACCAACAAACACACGGCGCTCGCAGTGGGTGATTTCAAGTAGTACTATCTGTTCGTTACATCTATCAGAACTGTACACTGCGTGAACTTCGGATACATTCGACGGCACCTCGTTCGGCCATAAATTCTAAATAGCTCCAAAAATAAATCTGAAAAGTTTTGGCGTATGTTGGGTCGAATCATTGTGAGTTTAGCCAGTCACGCTTTTCGGGAAACCCAGGAGATGGCAAAAGCAGCCAGAAATAGTAAATGACTGTTATGAATACTGTGCTTCTAGTGGTAGGACGCTGCACTAAAACGAATGCACAAAATATTGGAAGGTACCGCTGTTATAATGCTCACAATTACGCGACCATTTTTTCGCCATGCATTCCTAATATATCTCACAATAGTAGTGAATTCTTTGCCTCTTGCGTGGCCCAAAGGACGCCAAGTTAGGAGCCACCGGCCCATGATACCCACATGAGCCATACACTAGGTCTTCGCAAGGTTGTGCTCCAAATTAAATAGACTATTTTAGGTAGATTCTTACTGTGTGTGATTTATTTATGGCACGTTGTATGCCTCCTTCAGTTTCAAATTTATTTTACACGTGGAGTCAATCTCTATGGGTTTTTTTTTTTACAAGGAAACAGATTCGCCGCTTAGTCCAATGCTGCACAATAGGCCTAAGATAGAATATTCTGAAGGCAAGAGCCTCATTACGCCTGATGAAAGAGCGGGTCCTGTACGCTAAAGAAACTGGAAACGACGTTTTCGTCAACCTTGAATCATACTTTATTAAGTGGATTATAACGTTACGCTTAGACCAAGTAAAGTTTAGCGTACAATCTCCTTATCGGAACTCATTTCGGATGAAGAACACATAGAAAATTTTCCAAAAACCTTTTAGCCAATGCATTAACCAGCTTGGATTGTTTATGTATTTGGTGTGCTATTAACATTACAGGCGTTATCATCGGCGCCTTCGTAGCGTGCTGGTTACCGTATATCGTCGTATTTATCACGACTGCCATTTGTCCAGCATGTATTAGTTCTTCGCTCCATACAACGGTCATCTGGCTTGGCTACCTGAATTCTACGATCAATCCATTTCTTTACGCGCTGTGCAACGCTAACTTCAAAATTGCTTTCAAAAAAATGTTTTGCCACCATAATCCTCACGCGTTTATGCTAAGCCATCGGTCTGTCGATAACAAAGCTGACAATAACCATATGTTTGCCTGATGCTTCGCTCAGAAGCTGCTTCGCTGTTGGATTCGTCGTTTCCGTTTATTCCCGGGAATAGCGCCTGCGCGAGCAGCATCCGATCAATATTGTCTTCATAAACTGACTAAATATTGATAAACAGTAGACGCACAGTAGAGCGACGAAACACAAACGCGTGTGAAGTGTATCATTATAGCCCAAGCTTCTTAAAAACTGAAAAGCTTTTTCAAGCAACAGACATACTGGAATAGGTGATGGAGCGTAGCACGGTCGAAAAGTCACGTACATGGCGATGTACATCCAGGCACTACAGGCAAACGGCACGACAAAACCAAGCGGATATATCAACGAATTCAATATGTTCTTGTTGTAGATAACAAAAAGAAACACTATTCGAACTGTCGGCGCTTGTTATCATGATCAGACGCCGCACGAATTTTGAGTGACATGGGCGGAGTAGTCAAAATTTCGTAGGCTGCCAAGCGATCACTCAGCCTTGATCTCTGTTAAGCAATGATTATCAACGATTTATTGTCGTGCACAACTGAGCACACAATCAATCTGCGCACAAATAGTCAGTCCTCAGTTCTACTAAGGATTTACAAAAAAAAAAGATACCTTAACGGAGAGTCAGCTGGTGTCTATGGAACGAACAGGAGTTCCACATTGTGATAACGTCCTCTTCCTCCTCCTCCTCGTCCTCGTCCTCGTCCTCCTCCTGGATGCAGCTAGAATACGTATTCATCTATTGTACTGTGTATAGGGAATACATAATAACATAGGCTAACGTAGGCTATATCAATAAAAAGAAAACGAAAAAGGGAAGACCAAGCTTATGTTGAAGCAATGGCTAGGCGACATCGTCTCGCGTGCCGTGCTGATTTTTACAAGCGAACCCATTCCTGTAATTGCCATCTTAAGATAACTTGATCGCCCCTTTTTCAGAAAAGGACTTAGAGGAGAAATCTTTCACTAATATAGACGCAGTTCTATAGAGATCCGCTCATAAAAAACAACTGTACCGAAGCCAAAAAAGCTCCTTTGTAGGATCGATATACATGCCCTTTACATATCTTACAGCCAATATGTCTTTGTATATCTCCATTAGAGGAATTTGTATGCTTGTACAAGGAGTTTTTGTTTCAGAGAGACGCGTTTTTGCGGACATAAAGGACGCGCTGAAACAGGATGATCGTACGCCTTTAGCTGCAAATAACAGCCACTAGGGCCGCAAAGCGTATACGGACGCTCTGCGATCTTCGCGGTATATGATGTAGGTCGCTCGTATAGAGACTACACTGAACTGATCGACGTTGTTACTGAACACCGAAAATAATAATAATAAGTAGTGCTAGCCTTGTAGAGTTTTCCACTGCTACAACCAGTAGCTAGATCACTCATTAAATCTCAGAGGACGATTGTACAGAGACACACATGTACATGCATCTATACACGCTTCCGTCTATCCGGAATGTATCCGCTATCCGTCTAACGTACGCGTTTTACCAAAGCGACAATTATTAGTCTCCAGACTTCGATCACTGTGAAAATAGCACACACATTCGTACACTGATGTCTGAGTTTGGTCCTGCGCCTAGGTTGCTGTATATGAAAAAGTGTACATATTGCCTAGCAGAAGCCGCCAGCGACATCGTAATAATAATCAATTATTTAGTAACCTAATACCTAGGTGATATACTGATGAGAGATGTTGTGTATGAGCCTTTCCTTCCAAAAATGCACGAGACCTGCTATTTTTCTACCGTATTGAAAGAGGATAATAATCCTTAGATAATAATGGAGGGGAATGTGACTGGCGTCTACACTCAAAGCGCGTAATGCGGATTGCTCTATTCTGGGGATTAAAGTATTACATGTAAAAACGAGACATGTTATAATTACCATTATTCAACATTTAGACTGAATAGCTAAAATCATAATTTCAGCTGTATTAAAATATCGATAGTAGATAATTTTACGTACGCGCGCATGTACATTTGTATACTCGCTTAAAGAAATCTGTACATTCACGAACAATACCTGATATCCTCACGAGGCGAAGATTGTCGAAACTGCATTTTCATATGATGAGTCATTGCGACAACGATCAAAAGTAAGAACGATCAATTGTATTTTGAAAGATTGTAACGGTGCGACATTTAAAGTAAACCTTGTCGTTTAAATCGTATTCAACAGGATCACCTTTCAAAGCACTTAGTTACAAGATTTTCAATCGTCCAATTTGCTAGCGTCGCCTAAACCATGTTTGCAACACTGCGGCGGACTAACGGTTCAGATGATGGCTTCCTATGATGGGATTCCCAAGCGGGAGCGCTATGCTGTTCCCTAAGGCAATACGGCAAGTGTGAACTTATACTGATGAACGGAAAAGTTTTTAGCATAATGCTTTATAGAAAAAGCACATATTGTCTAAAGACGCGCCCGTATTACGACATGATCTCTGGCGTGCTAAGTTCAATTTGTAAGGGTTTAAAGCATACGAGATGTAGAGTGTCCTTTAGTAGGCCTTCCAAGCGCAAGTCTGCGTCATTCTCGCTATGCTGCACCTCAGTCAGCGTAAAGGATGAAGTACGTTTTTTGAGTGTCCCCTTCAAACTCTACCCATAGGAATCTATTTAACGAGGTTTCCTCACACTTGCTTTGTGGGTTTTATCTTTTACCGACCTTCTACCTTTCCAGCTGAGTTAGCGTTTAAGATTGCCTTTTCGCATTGTCGGAAAGTCGAATTACTATCGGCACTGTTGTCCACTAGACGTCGCTTACCACTGCCGAAGTATTAGTTGTCTTTTTTAAACTCTCATAGCGTAAACTTTTGAAGAATAAGGAATATAACATAAGGTGTCATGGCACTGGCCGATGCTAACTATCGCCCTGAGAAGGTCTTATCTCCAGATCACCCCTGGACGGTATAGGGGTTGTGATGGGGGCGGTTTTTACGGTGCTAAACAGGAAGTCTCTTGCATCTTAGTCGACTATATTTCGCAGCGGTGTAATCGCTACTCCATTATTTGTGCTCGTCATGTGATACGTGTGGCGACATATTTTCCTGTGCTATAGTAACGGTTACTAATTAATTTAACTGGCTTCTGTTAACAGTTCGGAACGTTCGTACATAGTAAGAATGTTGTACAAAGTAGGACTAATTTGATTTGATTTGAAATCCTTCAGACCGCGACTGTTGGGTCCGCCGTACCTGTCATTCTAGTTTGTTTTACTACGAGGCTATATCTCAGTAAATCTTGATTTTCTGTTAGAATCCATCTGATATTCTCTTGCCTTGTTTCGCAAATTCAGCTCCGTTGACTACTCCTCCAAGGAAAAGTGCTCTCTCGGTAGGTCGACCTATGGTTTCCATATTTTCCAAAAGTGTTACAAAAAAGAATATGTACATGCTTCTGCAATGTACTATTAATTTCCTCTTTGTGGCAATACTTCGATGGAACACAAGAAGAAGCCAGAATTTTCAGAACGTAGGGATTTCATCTTTTTTTTTTTCTTTTTCCATAGGCTAGCCTTGCTGGCCAGTTGATAACCGTAGTTCCGGTAGTTTTGTCGTATGTATTTGGTACTGGATATTGGATATTCATAGAAAAAACCTTTTGAAACTAAAGGTCCTTTCCCTTACATCCTATATACGATATATTAGTATATGATATATTAGGCTTTAAGCAATTATTTCTACTTTTGCTAATTATCCGCGTTAAATAATATGAAAAATGTAGTGAAAGTGCATTAAAAAATGTCATAGATTCATGTAAATAAGAACACTTTTGAGCTAACCTTGAATATTACAATCTTCCATGATTTACAGCTAACAAAGAAATCCCTATGAGAAATCACATCATCTTTAAATTTTATCACCACCTGAGACTGGTTTAATCACAAATCTGATCAAAGAACGACAGCGATGCCGAGATGCCTTTTTTTACTGGCTTGTTAAAAATAAGCCCAAGTACGAGAATTCTGAACCTGATAGCGATACGAGACAGTTCCTTGCGGGCAGTTTTGTTGATAATTAGGTTCTAAGTTGAAGAATTTTTCAAAACATTGATAAGGTTTTTTTTAATTTAACCGAAGAAAATTCCGTTGTTGACTAAGGCGGGAAATGGGAAAAACACTTCTTTGACACTTTAAACACCTAGATAGAAGGTACATCAAAAACAAAGTAACAAACCTAAAATAACAGAATATTAACTCCATCATAATCAACGGAACAAAGTAAGTTGTTTTCATGTAAATAAATTTCCAAGCGTTAATGGTCATGTCTAGTATGATTTTGACTTCTTATTGTTATATTCCATTTAAAAAATCAACAGTCCTCGGGTAAATAATGCAGCTGAGGTATAGCTCAGCGGTTTCAACGACAGTTCAGCTAAAACACTTAATTTAATCTGTATAATGAAAAAACACATTAAGATATAATAGAAATTTCATTCTGCATATAACAAATACGGCAATATTCGGATTATTGAAAAGAAAGTGTTTGCCAATGTTGAATATTTATACGAAATTAGAATTAGAAAACTTACCCGGAAATGCTGTATTAATGTGGTGAGTTACAAAGTTCATTTTTTTGTTTCGTGGATAAAAAAAAATACGATATCCCGCAACCTTACAAAAAGTTTCAATATATAAAACTTAGTTTGACTCAAGTTATTTTTCATGGTAGAGCAATAATGATTTCATATATTATGCAAATAAGAATATCGCGTTTTAGAAAAAGAGCTATCTAGCGCCTATTAATTATATCATTAATATAATGTATTGTGTATACAAGTAATGCTATCAATGTGGGCGGCTTAGCAATATTGTCTCGTTTAGTTTCTTTTGACCCGTACTGATGATGCCTAATAAAAGTTTAACGGAACGCTTTTGAAATTCTTCTTTTTTTTTTTTCGTTTAAATGTTTTTGGTAGGAGCGTTTTTGATAGAGTGAGACTGTTAATTTTAAAGTAACCTTTTACGAGACGAATTAGTGGTAGGACTGACCAAATAGCACGGACAACAAGTCCGTTATATCTAAAGCAAATTCTCGATGCGTATTATATTTGACCTGAACTACTTAGACCTATTAGAAGATGCACCTATTTCGTGTATTTCCTACGTTGTTTTTCGATGTAATGCCGTATCTAGTTTATTGTATCTGATAGGAGCAGTGATGAGAAAAACGACAACTAATTTTCAAATCATAGGCCACAGGCGCTGTTTGCTTCGAAATCTGCGGTAGGCTTACGGCTCAGTTGGGCGTTCAATGGGGAAATCGGCAAAAAATTGGCTGTATTTGTCCATTCCGTTATCTTAATCCCTTTCGCTTATACATATATATATATAAGTGAAACATCTTGATAATTTTCACTCGCTTATATGAGATGTGTTGTTTACTTATAATTATTTCCATGATGTAAGAACCCATATGACAGGTCTGGTCGGATGTGGGCCAAAAACAAGGTCGTGATATATAAATTCAATCGGCTTCTATGGTGATGACGCTGCGGCTGCGTACCAGTTTCATCGACGTAATTTACATGATGATGATGATCAGTGAAACATTGGGAGCCTACAGAGCACAGAAGTGTACAGAACAAAAATTTCTCAAGTAAAAGAGGTAACGCGGTGCTCGGAAGATAGTTTCCTTATATAGGAAGTGGTTCAGTAGGACCATATTCGTACCCTGAGACGTCACACATAATGCATATATATATCACAAGACATTGTATAGGCAAGGAAGCAGGTATAATTAAAAACATTAAGAAATCTCGTCTTCGACAAATAAAACGTTGAGGAACCCTGCAACTGTAT